AAATAGTCAGTCTTATTCTTATATAAATAAGGAAATTTATTCCATAATTCAATTATATTGACATAGCTACTTGGGTGAAATTGATATAACGTATATATTTAATAAAATGGCCAAAATGTACTCATACCTTAAGTAAATGAGATCCAATGTGTAATTAAAATTTTTTTAAATACGTTTAACATAATCATAAATAAATTTTATTAGCTCTTTTTTTCTGCGCTTTCCAAATGTAATGTAATATGTATAGAGCTTAAATTAACTTTCTTTATGCCCCCGCACTAGTATTTAAACAAATTATGAAATTATCATTATTCCGGTTTATATTATTCATCTCTTTCATTATTTTTTTTTTTTTTTTTTTTTTTTTAACTCTGCAATATCTGAGGTAAATCACCGATGACGAATTCTCGAGAACATGCAACGTATATTTCAGTGCCTTATAGGTATAAGATTACGCCAAGTTTGATCCGTATACTGTATTTTTACCAGACAAGATCTAGGTTATGCGCGGCGTAACTAACAACGCAAACGTTTAACATCGTGTCGACTTTGAGAATATAAAATCAAACACGCAATTACTATTGCTTCTTAAATAACTAATGCCATATCTTAAATTTAACGTCATCAAAAAGTTTATTGCGCCTCCTCGAAAGTCGAACATCGACAACCTGGCACATGTAAACAACAAATTCCGTTTGATCAAATAACTAGTTATCTTGACCATATAATTACTCGTGAAACAAGTATTATTATTATCTAGAATGTCAATATTTATTAAAGTGCAAAAAATAAATAATTATTTCATACAACAGAGGACCTTTATTGACGATGAGGTTTTAATCAGATTCAATATGATTTCAATACAAAATAAACGGCTTCAAAGTTCTAGTTCGTTCAAAGTTTAAAAATTTTGGATTATAATGTTTTGAACCATTCTAATACAATTAAAAAGTATGAAATTCTTCGGGATAAGATATTCTATATATTTACATACATAATTCTTAATATTCTTCGTATACTTACTTTAACCAAGAAGAATTTCAAATAATATAATTGTTTAGCGATACTCCATATTATATCCGATTATCAATATAAACAAATGTTGGATTTGAATCTGATTTCGTGTTTGCAAGTGTTGTGAATTTTTTTCTTGTTTTTTTTTTTTTTTTTAGACATACTATTATTACCTACGAATTTAAATAAAAAACAATAAAAATAATAAAAAAAAAAAAAAAAAAACAAGAAAAAAATTACACTTCGGTAATAAAATTCTATTGTAAGCCAAGGGATTGTACATCACTTTTTTTTTTTTGTTTTAAATATAACTCAGTTACTTCTGGTCTTGTCTGCTATAGAATTTGTTAGTAGACTCGAATATGCGTACATTAATTAATTTTTCTTTTGTAAATTTATGCTTATCATTAAAACACAATACAAGATATTTCGTACATTTGAATAGCAATCTTTGGAAAACATAAGTAGGCGAGAATTTAAACTAGAATAATTTTATCAAAAAGATTAAGAAAAATATTAACTTTGTTATATTTATATTTATATTAAGCCAGTAAATGATTAAACTGTACATACCGTATTCATATAAATATAAATTTACCGTAAGCTTAATTACGAATAAAGAAGTATCAAAGTATATTATAAATTTTATATTTAAAAAGGGCGACAATCCGCTAACGAAATAGTTATTTAGTGCCATAACAAATCTACAAACCTTAGTGATAATTATTATCGAAATGAAAGATAAAGACAATAATCAAAAGAAAGAAAAAAAAAATTAACCACATACGAAATATATATCTGCTGACAAAATTATCTGAATGTACTTGAGTAGCTTAATATTTTACAATAGGGAAATTTTAATGGTATTTTGACACTTTGGTTTCCATAATTAGGATATTTTAACAAGTAAAATAAAAGTCTTTCGGTAACAGGTAATTAGATATTGTGTAGAATTTTAAATAAATTAATTCAGACATAAATAGAATTTTAATATAAAGTAATTAAACGACCGTCAAATAATATATAAATTTATAAATCATAATTCTGAAAGAAGAGGTGAGAAAGTAAATTATTGTAAATAAGATTTGTATTTGTATTTTGTAACTGTCAGCGATTGCATATTGCAAATAAAATTACTTCCATTTGTTCGTGGATTGTCAAAATTTTTATTTAGTAGTCGATTTTCGAATAGCTCAAAGTATAAAAGTTTTCCTATACGTCATAAGATTTATTTTTAATTTAAAGCACCTATTCATTATTCTATATCTGAAACAATGCGGCGATAAAGGTAAGTCCTTCACGATACTTGACCGCAAGATGAGTAATACAATTAAAATTACCAATAATTATGTGCGAATAATTATACGAGAATTTGAAGCATAATTGATCGTTTATTATTATTAAAAACGAAATTAGATAAAATTAAAGTACTTGATTTAGAATATCTTGATTTGGACTAAATTAGGTGTATAAAATGATAAGTGATTCAATGATAATTTATTCATATAGGAAATAAGAAACAAAAGTTTTCAAATTAATGTAATTAATGCTGGAAGCATTTTATAATACACGAAAGATAGATAAACTGTGGAATAACAACAAACAAGTAATAATTATATATTCCGAAATAAGAGAAAAAAATCTGTTTCACAATTTTCTCTATATTCAGTTGTTAATCAGACAGACAATTGACAAAACAAAAACACATATTTACATAATTAATAATTTATAATGTGCGTATGTTAAGCATCCGAAGGGCGTTCGTAATTAGCGAAAAGTAGTTGAAAAGCACGTTTGAAATAGAGAAATCATCTGGAACAAATAGGACAACTACATGTGGCCCAGTTAAAACCAAATAAATTTAACTATAACACACGTCACTAATTACGTATGTGTTAACTATTTTCGGCAAATTTTCACGCACTTAAGTCCGAATAACTCAACACTCGATTTTATACGAACACCATTCGGAAAAAGTGGAAGAATGCCTCAAGCAGCCGCGATGGGCTTGGAAATAAACTCGAGCCATAAGAAATGTGTTGTCGAGGGAAAAACTAGATCGAAGACTTTGTCCAAGCGATCGTCAAGTATAATTTCAATTTTAACGTGCAAAAATGAGAAATTCTGTGATTTCGTAAAATCGTACGCGGCGGGGTTATATATATATATATATATATATATATATATATTTTTTTTTTATATTGTCAAAGTGACCTCATTTTTAATCGACGCTTCTGTCCATTTCTCTCCGTCCCCCTCGTCTATGTCTCACTCTCTCTCTCTCTCTCTCTCTCTCTCTCGCT